GACTCCACGGCACATAACAACAACAACAAACTTCTTTAAAGATTTACTGCCTTGGAAACCCAATGGGAATTGACTCATAGCAGTGAGCTGGGTTGTTGTTTTTCCTGAGGATTCCAGGGACAGAGCTAAAACTCACTGCCATGGAGTTGATTCTGACTCAGGGTGAATCCCACTGGGTTACCAAGGCTGTAAATCTTTATGGAAAAAGATTGCATCATCTTCCTCCCACAGAGCAGCTGGTGGGTTTGAACCACCGACCTTCTGGTTAGCAGTCAATGTCTTACCCATTAGACCACGGGAGCTCCTAGACACATGGATAGAATAGGAAAATGGAGACCCCCATCTGTGGGGGAGTCTGTTGAAAGGCTGGGGAATGGGGGTTCTCTCTTTTTGGGTCCCCTGGGGCCTGGGGGTGCACATGGCTGCCTGAGAGGGGCCAGGTGACAGCCAATGGGGCATGACTCCTTCTCTGCCCAGTCCTGGGGCAGGAAAAGTTCATCAAGTCCTGAGCTTGGCAGCTGGAGAGGGTTTGTGTGGCCACCGCCGGGACTCTACAGAGAGATGTACCCCGAAAGAGAAAGACCCAGAGGAACCCAGGGGGTCAGGCTGTGTGCGTGTGGGGGGCTAGGCAGGGACCGAGACATCCACCTGTACCCACCTCCCCCTCCTGTACTCCACGCCCACCCCCCCACCGGGCCCTGTGTTTTCCCCAAGGGGTGATGACGGAGGGGTGAGGAGGTGACAGAGGGCTGATGACAAGAGGGGGTGAGGGGGTCCGAGCCACAGCAGCCTGAGGCCACCCCGCTCATCTCCACGTCTCTTGGTCTTGTCCTAAAGGCCCGCTCCGGCTCTCTCACCCATCCCATCTCCATGCCCCAATCTCCTGGCCACTGCTTGAATCTGCTCCTGGGCCCTGCTGCTTCCCCTACGTCAGTCTTTTTCTTGGATCTGTTCTTCCTTTCTCCACCTTTCTCTCTTTTTCTGTCTTTCCCTGTTGTCCGTCCCTCTCTTTCATTTGTTTTTCTGGGTCTCTGTGGAGCCGTCTCTCTGAGTCTCTCATGGCCCTGGGTTTCCTCTTCCCTCTCACCACCTCAATCTCTCTCCACTGCTTCCTCCTGTCCTTGCTCCCCTCTGCCCCCCCTCAGTCTCCCCACCCTCATGTCATCACTAGGATCTCAGCCACTACCCCACCAATCCGGCACCCCACCCCCAGGCATCACTCAGGGCCTGGCTCCTCTCTCCCCAAGCCCCAGCAGGGTTACCCCAGGCCCTCTTGGCGCCAAGGAGAGACACCCCTCTCCAAGCCCAGCCTCTCCTCGAGGTGCCGGGCAATTGCACACCCCCCCAGGAGCAGAGCCTTTCCCAGGACCCAGAGGGCGCCAGGAATGTGGGGCAGAGAGCAGGAAGACCAGTCAGAGGTCGGGAAGTCAGGACCTGCACCTCCCCATCCTGGCCTCCTTCCAGCTTCTGGTGCTGGCCCTAACCGCCACTAACTCGCTGCCCTTCTTGGGGCCTCTTTCTGGGCCTCAGTTTCCCCCCTGCAAAGTGGGCAGACGCAGACGCGCCCCGCCCCTTCTCTTAGGTCCCAGGGGATGGATGCTCCAGACTGTCTGTAGCGTGATTAATGTGGTGGTTTGTGTTAAAGGGACGGGAGCGAGCTGAGAACTGGGACTTGGTTTCTAAGCCTTCCCCTCTCACAGGCCAACTTTAGGACAAAGGAAGAGACCGGAAGTAAGGATGTGACAGCTGTGACCATGACTATGAACCTGGGGATTACAGTGTGAGTGAGGGATGGGTAATGGTGGTGTGTGACCCTGTGGAGACACACACCACCCCCGTGTGACCCTGTACGTGATAGTGGGGTTGGGGGGGTGGCATGTGATCCCATGTGCGACTGTGTCATGGGGTGATGGGATCATGGTGTGTGACCCCATGTGTGACTATGTGTGATCGTGGGGTGGTGGGATTGTGATGTTCATGTTGTAGTAGGGGAGTGGTGTGTGACCCTGTTTGTGACTGTGTGTGATTGTGGCGTGGTAGGGCTGTGAGGTGTGACCCTATGCGTGACTGACTGTATGTGGCTGCTGAGTGTGAGTGGGGCTGGGGTGGAGAACTGTGTGTCTGCGTGATGTGACTATGTTGAGGGAGCGTGGCAGTTTGACAGTGTCATGTTAAGGACTGGTGAGAGTGTGTGCCTAAGTGACAGTTGGACATGTATATAGGGATGTGACTCTATGGCCTCTAGAGTTGACTCTGTGAACTGTGTGAGATCGTGTGTGTGTCAATGTGTGTGTGGGCAACTGTGTGTGACTCCAGGTTGTTTCACTAAAATCTGGTGACTGTATTAGTGAGTAGGCCACCTGTGTTTATTTCAACTATAGTCATCCCTGAGCCCCTGCTCTGCACCCAAACCTGTGTTGGGTGCTGGGGACCTAGTGCTGACCAACATAACATACCTGGCACTGACCTCACAAGCACACAGGCCCAGTGGGAGAGACGGGTGGTGGCTGTGGTATGACCTAGTGATTGTGTGGACGTGTGTGTGTGACAGCTTCACCAAGAATGCAAAGCTATGATTCTGTTGCGTACAGGAGTCCACGGCCCCAGGAGTGTGGCTGTGTGTCACTGTGTCAGCTTGGGGGGTGACAGACTTTGGCTCTCGGGTGTGATCGTGAGAATGTACCACCCTGAATGATGTGTGACTCTGAATAACCGTGTGTGAGGGCTCACAACAGTGCCTCTCCATGGCTCGGGATGTGGGTTGTGTGGCTGTGTGTGTGTGACTTCGTGGCTGTGACTCTGTGTGTGAGTGACTGGGTGGGAGGTGTGCTCTGTGACAAGAGCAACAGTGAGAGACTGTGTCCTGGGGGGAGGGGTCCTCGGCACGGAGACAATGACCACGTGACTGTTGTCCCACTTGTCCTGGAGTGACTGTAACAGTCACAGGGGATGGTCCTCCGGTGCTGGGCCTTGGCCCCAGCTCCCCCTCCTGTTCTGGGTCCCGCCCCGGCTCCGCCCCCTCCCACCACCCCAGGCTGCCACTGTCTGTCACCTCTTCCAGAGCCCAGCGAGGCGGGGAAGAAAGCCACGGCGGCAGGAAGAACAGGTGAGTGTGAGCAGAGCTGGGGGCAGGTGAGTGCTCCAGGTCCCAGCCTGCCCCTCTGCTCCCATACCCCCTCAAGTCTCCAGGTCTCTCTCTCTGTCTCTCAGCCTATGCCTTCGTCTCCTTGTGTCTTTTGTTGTCTCTGCCTCTACACCTCTAAGGCTCCGTTTAACCTCCATAATGGTTTCCCTCTGTATCTCTCTTCCACATCGCCTCTCCATGTCTCTCTCGCTCCCGTCTCCTAGGCCACATATCTGTCTCTGTCTCTCTTCCCTGTGTGCCTCTTTCCGTGCCTCTGATTCGCTGTCTGTCTTTTGAGGGCTCTGTCTGAGATCTTCCCTACCTTGCCTTTCACCTCCATGGTGCCTGGGAGGGGAGCGGGGGATTTAGGACCTGAGGTTTCCAGGTTTTGAGCTCCTGCAGATTTAAGCCCAGAAACTGACGCCTCTGTAGTCCCTAAGGATTTGGAAGCTGGGAGAGGGGCTCCCCCGCCGATCCCAGCCTTTTTCCCTGGCGGGCAAAGTTTTAAAGGCCATTTGAAACCGGCGAGACTGGGAACTCCGATGGGGGTTTCAAGCTCCCCTCCAGCCTTAGCTGACAGTTTCTATTCCCTCCGCTCCAAGGCAGTCCCCAGGTTCCCCAGAGTCTCGGGGTCTAGAATCCGGGTGCCACTGGCGTTTCCACCCCGCTCAGCTCTAAGGCAACCGCCCCCTCAGCAAACACCCTCCGCCTTCCACCGCTGCTGCCCGAGCAACAAATTAGGGGCGGGCTCGGCAGTCACGTGCCGGAGTCTGGGCCCCGCCCACTCCTCACGCTGCCCCACCCAATCGCACGTGCGGGCGAGGATGTGTGTGGTGTGGGCGCGGCTCCGGTGTCAAAATGCATGAGTCCTGGAGGCGGG